GCATGTTTTAGATCTGTTTGTCGGCTACAGAAACACATTTATGTTCATGTTTATATTTAATGTTTATTCATTTAGCAGACACTTTTATCCAAAGCGACTTACAATTTATAACCTGTAGGGCATGTTGTGATCTGTGGGGGAAGCCGGAGTACCCGGAGGAAACCCACGCATGCATGGGGAGAACACGCAACTCCACGCAGAAAGGCCGCAGCCGAGTTTCGAACCTGCAACCTTCGTGCTGCGAGGAAACAGTGCTAACCACTGCGCTACCATGCAGCCCATTTATAAACAGAAATGGGAAGTCGCCATCTAAAAAAAAAAAAAGGAGCAACAGATTTTTTGTGTGATATGCTTGTCAGCCACTAGATGGTGCCATTGGATAAGAGAAATACTCCAGAAAGAAGCTTTAACTGGTGTGAAACATGTTTGGGATTTGTGAATAAACCACCGCCAAACAGCAAAAAGTCTGACGTCTTCCCTGTTCTTGAACTCATCATCTCCAAACAGTGGTTGACACCAGCAAGTCCATGTGAACCTTTTAAAAATAGAATAGAATAGAATAGAATAGAATAGAGTAGAATAGAATAGAATAGAATAGAATAGAATAGAATAGAATAGAATAGAATAGCCTTGTATTGCCCCCTTTTTTCTTTTTTTTTTCTTTTTTCTTTTTCTTTACTTCAGCTCATGACGGTCTGGATTCTAGGCTAGCAAGCAAAGCAAAGTAGTTTAGATTTCAAAAAGCAAAGAGTAAATATTAAAATTAAAGAATAAAGAGTAAGGTATCAGAGTTATCTTTTAAATCAGAATTTGTTTTAAAATAGTACGTTGTTAATTATATAGATTATTATCTATATCATAAATCTAAATCAGCCAACAGCAGCACCACCAGGTCAGAGCAGCAGATGCATTAGAAATCGATGCGTCTCTAATGCCATGTGAAATAAGAGGCTCCGGTGTCAGACAAACAGCATTCTCCTTTTGAGGATTTATTTGTACTCACTTGACAAAAGCAACTGGAAGACTAGCTATCCTCTTCATGGTCCTCATAACCTCGGCATGTAACAAGATCCATCTCAACGTCACCACAAACCGGAACTCAGAGCAACATCGGCTCCAAATGTATCTGAAATTTTTAGCTTAGCTTTTAACTGATATCTGTTTACAGCTGCATTTCCTGTTTTATTAATTAACTTATTTATTTTATTATTTTCATTTTAGTGGTATAAGACATTTATGTTTTAGTGTTTTACTATCTCTTTAATCAGTTGTATTGGTTATTTTACTATCCATATTAGCTATATTTATTAATATTAATGTTATTAATTATTTATTTATTTTCATTAGACTTATTTTAATCATAGCAGTGTTTCCTCTGCGGGGCCCTCTGCCTCGGGGGTGGTGGATGACTGTGGCGGCCTGGGCGCTCCTAGGGGTGTGCTTAGGCGATGGTGGGGGGTTTCCGCCCTCCCTCCCTGGGCATCCTGGGTTGGTGCCTTGGCTGCTGCCGTCGATCAACTACTGCCAAGGCAGATGGCTCACCTGATGGTGTTTCATTCATTACGTAACCCATCTGAGCTCAGCCTAGTGTTTACTTATGCTGTTCTTTAGGTTTTCTGTGTGTGTGTGTGTGTGTGTGTGTGTGTGTATGTGTGTGTGTGCGTGTGTGTGTGTGTGTGTGTGTGTGTGTGTTTGTGTGCCTGGCAAATGGGTTGTGGGATGGGGGGTGTAACTGTCACAATTGTTTTTATATTTGTGGGGAAGGGATGAGAATATGTGTTAAATTGGGTCATTTTAATCTGTTTTATGAAATCTTAATCTTTTGTATGAAACGTGCTAAACAAATAAAGCTTGACCGATTGATCTGGATGATCGCAACTGGATAAACTCTCACCCCCATCGTCTGTTGTGACAGCTCTTCTTTACGTTTGGCTTTTATGATCTCATATCACAAAGGCTCACTTTTAAAAGCAAGTGTGCTGTTCAGGGAGCTTTATGATATTGAATGAGAGAACCCGGCACATCAAAAAGTGACGAGAAGGGGGTGGGGGGGTCCTGACACGTTGGTATGTGACACAAAGGGAGCGTGACCAAGCATCCGTATACGACGAGTAGGGTGTGAGAACATGTTGGTTTTACTGAAAAAACATCCTTCATTTGTAAGCATTGATGCTTTTTATCAAAGGACTTGTCTGTCATTAGTTTTCCAAGAGGGCGCTCATCTGTCTTTGCCCGATGCTAATAAATAAAATCAGCAGATGGGATGCGGGGGTGTACAGGAAAATGAAGACGTTTATGAAATGGTTCTGGTCACATTATCTGCCACAAGGTCTGGATACTGTTTAGAGTATTCCAGAATCTCGCATGAGGGAGACAATGGGAAAACTACTCGTTTCCATGTTTAGTGGATCTGTTTACCCGTACAGACTGAAGATGTTCCAGTTTATGCAAAAACAGGTACTTTATGTTTAAACCGAGCGATCTTTCTCTGTGATGCATTTGCCTCATCATGTGGAAACTGTTTTGTTAGCTTCTTACTTGAGGCGTATGCGCGGTTCCAGAGGACTCAGCTCTTTCTCCTCGCCCCAACATTCCTTCTTCTCAGAAAATCTGTCTGAGCTCTTAAACATCTGCTGCTACTTAAAATCAACAATTTTGTCTGTGAAATTTGCTAATGATGCAAATCCAGCATGAGGTTTAAGGATTTACAGAGGCACAACAAAGGATTCCTGAGATATCTGAAATTATCAAAAAACAATAAAGTGGTTTATATCTCGAGATCCTGGCCCTACCTGAACGTGCACCCAGAGCCAAGAGCAATGACGAAGTCAACTCAAGGCCATCGATTAGTCCTGCAGTAAATATATTCTTGGCGTTTGTGCGAATGTGTGTGTGTGTGTTTACGTAAATGTTCACAGGAGAGGAAAGAAGAGAAAAATGTGATGGCTTGGAGGTTGTCATTAATGAGAGTTTCTTTGATCCGCTGAAGTCCCTGTCTCAGTCATTTAAGTCATCTGGCTCGACTGCTCTGGCCTTGGAACAGACTTTGGTCAGCATCTGGAGAACTCGCCCCGGTGTCTGACTGGAGTTATGCGAGGAGAGACAGAAAAGGGGAAAGCTGCTGGAAGATTCGTGTGAAGAGGTCGTAATACCGCGGGCGCTCTTCTAATACCGCGGCGCTCGGCACCAGCTGCCACCTTTAAATAGAATAAAAAAATAGCTCGTAAATCTGGGGGTTGGAGGTGTACGGACAGAGTGACAGAGAACAAAGCCTGGATGGGGTTTTTGATTGAGTGGGACTGAGAAATGAGCGCAGAAAGGTGGAGAAGAGAGTTTGGTGCAGTGGAAGACAGACGGGGGAAAGGTGGGGGAAGTATTTGTGAGAAATACCTGAAGGAGACGGATTAGAAACAAAAGGCGAACAGATGAACAGACAGATGGAGATGTTCTGTGTGATGTGAGCTGTGGATGAAACGCATCGATGGGGGATACAAAGGAAAGACTGACATTCTGGAAAACAGGATGGGAAAGTCATTTCACCTGTGCTCTTTATCCTCCTTTATTCCTCCTAATTCCTTATTTAGACAAGCATAAAGCCAGCAGGTGGAACGTCGGCTGCTCCGTTTGCAACTGTCACCTTGTTACCACGGTGACTAAGTGTATGGATATGGGGAGTGCTTTCACCATCACTTTAGAGTGAAATATGGTGAAAAGGCACCACCTTCAGTTCTGTGAGTTGTGGATGTACCGCTAAAGGAGCATGGCACAAAAACGTTAAGTTTTACAGTCCGTTTTAGGGTCAGGTTTTTCTGCTCAGTCGCCATCGATAGGAATCGCCTTGCTGTGATTTACTCATCAGCAAACTGAGCGCAGCCTCTGCCAGACGTTTACGACTCTACGGCCTCAGCGCCCGACAAGATATGGAGACCATTAAGGTCTATTCACACTCGGTTGCCTTCATGAACTGCCAGCTCTTTCACTCGAAGAGAAAATATAATAGGAAGCAGATGTCAGGTGGACGGAAAGTGACAGCTTTGGAAAATCTTCCATTGTCACTCAGAGAGGGCGTTTTACGGTTTACGAGTCAAAGAACTTGTAGTTTGGATGAAGGATGTCTGTTTCTGTCGTTTTAACAGCACTCACAGGAAAACTGAACAAACAGTGTAGAATAATTGCAGCTGGGCACATTCTGGGGTCGTGACTTTTGTTTTCAGAATGCAGCTTATTGGTGTTGTTTTATGTTTTTGAAAACCCAAATAGTGTATATTTTCAATGTTCTTGAACAAACTGAAGATGCTTTATATAAAAGTCATACAATTTACTCTTGTTACAGCATTTAGTGTCTCTTACTGTCTTACATTATTAGACAGTTTGGTCTATAAAGACTTATGGCTTCTGAAAGCTGTTTTACTGTCACCAGCAGTAGCTTTTGTGAGCGTAAACTAAACCAGAAGGAGAATTTCCTTGTCCTCCTCATCATCATCAATCCCCACCTGTGGTTAATCATCATGGTGGTAAAACAGGCTGATGTCCTCATATGAACGATTAAAAGCCAAAGAGGAAGACTGTCAGCACACAGCTTTCCAAAATAAATCATTAGCATTTACAATAAACATCAATTTAAACTAACTTTGCTAAAAAGGACTTGTTTTTTGTCTCTGCAACACAAATCTGTTAAAGAGATTTACAGTGTGTTCACACAAGATGATAGGTTTACACACACACACACACACACACACACACACACACAATAGGTCCTATCTCATGACCTCACCTCCAGACGTCTCTCCTTCCCTGACACTCACAGGGAATTGCTGTTCAACTGGAAAATTTTACAGTTACTCTCATTTGCCCTGCACCTACCTGAGACCTTATAACCTCTGATGTTTTCATTTTGATTACAGGAAATAATCAGAAACATGACACATATTAATATCTGTGCATAAAGACCGAAGTTAAAATGAATCATCGCTGACAGCTTCAGGTTTTTTTTTTCTTACCTTGACCCAGAGCCACTGAGGTCAGGAAGGACAGCAGAAGAGCCAGTTTGGTTAATTCCAACATTTTGAGGAAATACATTTATTTCTACATATTTTTTCGAATTTTCTTCAACGTTGAAAGCAAACTTCACACTAAGTCAACAGCTGGCCCCTCAGCTCTAAAACCAAGCTGAGCGGAGTCGCTTCGGTTCCTCAGGTGAGAGTGATGCTGCTGCAGAGTCTCCTCCTCCAGAGTTCAGTAGCCGAGTCAGACACAGGAGCTTTTTAAAAAGAAGGGGCATCTGGACCGCACACAGCGATCCAACCCCCTTCTCCTCACCATTGGCCAGTGTAATGAAACATCTGGGTCCCCCATATCGTCCCAAAAAATAGCTATATTCTGGTGGGGTAAAGAGGGAAGGGAAGGAGGACACACACACACACTGTTTGGAAATAAAAGTGTGTGTTTTTGTATTTTCTTCACTTCATTATTCATCATTTCTGACATGTTTACAGCTGTTAGTTTATGTATTGCTTGCTTGTCTGTGAGTTGTTGCAGTGCTCCATTACAACAGTGTAGTTATGTTCGTGCAACAGGTGTGTGTGTGTGTGTGTGTGTGTGTGTGTGTGTGTGTGTGTGTGTGTGTGTGTGTGTGTGTGTGTGTGGTTTCCACGTCCATCCTGTCAAACACTGATTTGATGCTGAATATTTTGGGTCATTTTCTCCAGTTTGTTGAGCCAAAAATTCCAAACGTTGGCTTCTCAGTTATAATAATAATAATAATAATAATAATAATAATAATAATATTAACGACTCAATATTTTGTGCTACTAGATTTTCATTTAATTGTCACAGCTGTCTTTTCTGTCTTGCTCTCGCTGTTCCCCTCTCCCAGAGCCAGATGCTCCTGTGCTCCTGTCTCTCTCTCTGGTTGAACTTCTGGTTGGGTTTTGAAACTGTCTAACAGTTGCTGATTGCTGGGCACTAATCTGCCAAAGAGGGGAAGTGGCGTCATATGGCATGCCAGTCAGGAAAAGTCCTCGGAGCAGAGACATGAGACGTGCTTATGAGGTGTAATGTGCTCAGGCTCCTTTTCAGCTGCTAGTGAAAACAATGGAAATGAAAACTAAATAAGGTCGGCTCTTTTTCAAATCCCTCCTGGCTTCACATGAAAATGGGCTCAACGCAACATCTGAAGCAAATGTGGGTTTTTTTTTTTAGATAAGAATTTATTCTGTAAGATTAAAAAGAAACTCTCAACTTCTTGAGTCAGGAATCTTTGTTTTGATGAAGACAGAGTTTTATGCTAGAAATCACAAAATTCCTTGCATTGGTAACAGAAAAACATACTTTGTTACCCCGGCTTTCCACAGAAGCCGTCAGCAGCACGTTACTGCAGCAGCACGTCTTGCTCGCGTGAGCTGCTGCTTGGCCCTTCCCACGAGACGCGAAGCAGCAGGGGAGCAGCTGTCACGACAGAGCACGAAGTCACAAGAGTGACTTCGTCAGTAAACACAACAACAAGCAGGAGAAAACTACAACATGGTTTGTGTTTTATGTTCTGTCCGTTCTATAATCGCCAATACGGACCTGAAAAAACAAAGGAGACCGCTAGCTAGGTGATAACTTCTCACGGGGCCGCACAGTTAGTAACTGTTTTTAAAAGTAAAGCAACCGGAAGGCAGTACGTTCTTTATTCTGAAAATCTCGGGAGCTTCTCTCCATTTCTGCATCCGAATTCCTGTCTTTCCGTCCCCAAAAATGTCGAACTTGACCCGTTTCTGAGGCGTCGCGCGTAGAAAATAGAACTGGCGCGTAAAGGCCGCGACATGCTGCTCCTGAGACGCGGCCGACTCGCGCTGCTGACGGCTCCAGTGGAAAAGGTTCTGTTGACCACAGCGGTTCCTATCAGCAGCTATGACGTGCTGCTGCAGTAACGTGCTGCTGACGGCTCCTGTGGAAAGCTGGGGTTAGTTTCTTAGTGTTGCCTGGATCAGCATGGACAAGTCTGCTGCAGCAGCAGACTGCCGGATTTGGACTCTTATTCCAGATATTTGGACATCTTGCCTCGCCTTGGATAACAGCAACACGACTCTACCACTGACTCTGTTTGCTCTGACATGTATGGTTTATCTCCACAAATAACACAAGCCTGGAGGAGCTTCTGCTGTGCGGTTGAATTTTCTAATGCTAACAGTTAGCTTATGCTACCAGAGACATTCAGCGCTGTTTGCTGGATGCTAAAACAACGTGAGCCAAGATGGGTGAGTCCTTGACTGTTTGCCATAAATCTGTCAGGCTTTTCAAATCCTAGAGTTTCACCATCTATTTTCTATCAGAAACTAATGCAGGAGATAGAGGTAGGAGACTATTTTCACGTTCAGCCTGCATGACAAACTCAGAATGGGCAATTATAATCAGTAACGATCATCAAAAATGGGTTTTCAGTGCTCCACATCTTTAAATCATTAATGTGTCTTTTTACCTAACACTAAGTTAAACTCACAACTCTGATACTTGATCCCCAAAGAAACCCTGCACTGTTTTATTCAAAGCACAGTTTTTTATTTATTATCCCTCTCATAGAGATAAAAACATGATTATTGTTGGTCTCAAATGATTTCTCCCATTAATCATAATATGCTACAACTCCACTTTAACAACAAAAAATGTTCAAAGCATTTGCTGGTAAAAGACCAAAAACTCAACTAAAAATAAAAAAACGTTTGATTATGAAACTATGTTCTGCTGGGAAACTGTACACACTGCCATTTGGACCTTCCTTTGACATGTACGACTCTCTCAGACATGTTAACTCAGAATCCCTGTTTTGGCAGTGGCTTTTCGACAGAAGCTGGCTTCTCCTGCAGAACAACATGCGATTCTTCAAGCACTTTTCAGCATATGCTCCAGGAACACGTCAAAGAGCTTAGGGCACTGACGTTCCAAATTCTCCAAACCCAGTTGAGCATCCACAGCGTAGGCCAGAACAAGCCAGATCTATTGAAGTTCCTCCCAAACCCTCTAAGTCTCTAAGGATCACTTACCTTTACACCGATTAGCCTGCGTTAGACAGGACTCTGCATTGCTATGGTTGTTTGACAGAAATTATATGACCAGTGATCCCTTTGCAAAGGCAATGGGAACTGATGTTTGGTCCATTCAGTACACCACAGGTTCACAACTTCTATGCTGGTTTGCACATCCTGGTTGTCAGATAGAAGTTGCACTTTGGTGTGTCAGAATATTTCTGGATCGATCTTGTTTTTACATTACATTCAAATTAGCTGAAATGAAATGGATATTTTAAAAAGAGATAATTCTGTGAATTTCAAGTTCTGTGGAAACATTATAAATAATTACTATTTTACCTGTGCATTCACAGTACAGCATTGATGTAACCACTTATGTCTTTGATGACAGTGTCAAGGTTTATAATGTAATGTTTACAGAAACTGCTTTAAATTGGGAGAGAATGATTTGTTTTAAAGGGGCATTAGGTGGTGAAGCCACATTTATCTTGTTGTTGATTAAAGGCAGCTTGGGTGGTCAAATGTAGCACACCAAAACGTCAGAGTTGCTTTCTATATAATTTAGTCTTCCTGAAAAGGTGAGAGAGAAATTGTTTATTACGTAATAAGCCAAACCTCCTTGCATGTACATGTTCCAATCTACTTTAGTGTCAGCAACATAAAAACGCTGGTCGTGGTGATGCTAACCGTAGAACAACACTAAGCATACCTACTGCTAATCCTAAATGTTCTTATTCGTATTAGTCTTGTTTTTTTAAACTGAAATGTATATTATTTCATTTGTTTTACATTCATAAAAATTTAGTAATTTCAAGAATTGTTTTTGTTTATTTTATTTTAATTAATATTTGCTGTTTTGTTTTTTAAAAGCATTTTGGTTTCATGACTTTATGATTTATTTTATTTTGTTGGTCTCTGTGAAGCACTTTGATGCTCTTTCTGTGATGAGTGCTGCATAAATAAAATGTACTTACTTACTTACTAATGCTAACCCGAGCTGCTCAACAGATAAATAACCAAGAATTTATATTCGAGCACCAGTCATGTATGTTCTAGGTTGTACTGAGAATAGCCAGATTGTGAAAATGACAGATATGACGAATTCACATCTGGGCTGGCTCAGCCTAGCCCTGGCAGGTTAATGGTGATCACATTTGGGTAATCGGTGCATTTTTCCTTTTAAGCCACCCGGTTTTTGTCGAATCTACTCTCCAGTAGCCTGCTAAGTTCTGCGCCATATATATATATATATATATATATGGTATATATATATATGTATGTATGGTATGTGTGTATGGTATGTATGTATATAGATAGATAGATAGATAGATAGATAGATAGATAGATAGATAGATAGATAGATAGATAGATAGATAGATAGATAGATAGATAGATAGATAGATAGATAGATAGATAGATAGATAGATAGATAGATAGATAGATAGATGATAGATAGATAGATAGATAGATAGATAGATAGATAGATAGATAGATAGATAGATAGATAGATAGATAGATAGATAGATAGATAGATAGATAGATAGATAGATAGATAGATAGATAGATAGATAGATAGATAGATAGATATTTCATGATTTGTTTGTCCCAAACTGATATTTCTAATAAAAACTGAGAAAGCTATTTCTTGAGCTAACTTTATGGTTGTTGTTTTTTTTTACTTCAACTCACTTTATGTTACAAACTCAGCAAAACCTGTTTTAATACTTTTTTCCATGTGGGACAGCCCGCTGCTGCTGTCAGTTAAAACCATTCAATTCTCTAGGCCACTGATGACTCCAAAGCTCATTATTTATCCCGGTTCTGTGAAAGGCAAAAAAGACACTGTGGCCACAAGAGCTCTGTTTCCTGAGAGGGTTTGGACAGTCATGAAAGACAGAAGCACTGAAAGTTCAAACTATGTCTACATCCCTTTTCACTTTGATTCTGCCCATTGTCTGCAGATAGTGAAAAACGGATCACCATTCCTTTTCACTGACTTTACACCCCCTCACACACACACACACACACACACACACACACACACACACACACACACACACACACACACACACACACACACACTCGACATTAGGGCATTAGTATTCTGAAGAAGCTCTCGTGTTTTGTATAACTGCACATTACCTCATTCATTAACAGCACAGCAGTCTCCGTCTTAGTCATTCTCACCTAGAGCCACAGCGTCGAGCTCCACAAAGAGACGCCTTCTTCTTCAGCTCATTATGGCCTGATCTCACCTGTTTACAGCTTTTGTTGCCAAATTAAATCCAGTTGGGTGCAAGTAAATAGATGAAGCAATTTGTTCTCTTCCAAGAAGCCCAATGTGATTACCTGTGATGCAATTGATTACCTAATACTCAATGGCATCATTAAATTAAAGAAGATCAGGAAAAAGTTTGTGGCTGAAGAATTACAACTGATAGTGTTAATACTTTTGATTGTACTTTGAAAAATAAATAGTAAAACACACTTAAATGACCATTGGAAAATATGGGATTAGTCTTGCTTTGGTGATATCTTTAGTGGCCACAGAGGGGCAGTGCAACAACCTAGATCTAGATTTTATAAACCCCTTTCATCTTTCCAAAAAAGTAAATTATTGTTTATAAAAATTATGTGACATAAAGTCTAACTTTTTTCATTTGGAAGTTTATCTGTACAAAAACAAGAACAATTCAAATGTCTACATAGGTCACCCAACCTTCAGTATTAATAGCTCATTTATCAATGATTTGACTATTTTCATCCATCCATCTATTCATTTACATCCGCTTATCCGGAGTCAGGTCGCGGGGGCAGTAGCCTAAGGCGAGAGGCCCAGACTTCCTTCTCCCCAGCCACCTGGACCAGCTCCTCCAGGGGAATCCCATGGCGTTCCCTGGCCAGGTGAGAGACATAGTCCCTCCACCGTGTCCTGGGTCTACCTTTAGGTCTCCTCCCGGATGGACGTGCCCGGAAAACCTCACCAGGGAGGCGTCCAGGAGGCATCCTGACCAGACGCCCGAGCCACCTCAACTGGCTCCTCTTGATGTGATTACTTTTTACATCTAAAACATTGCTACTAGACCACACAACATACAGAAACAACAGAGACTTTCCACTTTACCATTTTTATTGGTCAACAAGAAATGTCTGAACTTTTTTCAAAAGAGTAAATGAGGTAACTGAGAGAAAAGTAATGCTAAGTTGTGGAGTGTCGATAAATAAGGAAAAAACACAAATAAAATGTAACATTTCTTTAATCGCCATCGTTTACCTGTAGTCTCAGCAGCACACTGGAGCTATAAGGGTAACACAAGGTAAACATGAGAATGAAAGAGCAGCGGGACATCAAAAGAAAGATATTTTTGGAGGGAAAAGGGATGATCCAGTGACTTAGCATCATGGAAAAGCCATTTTTCTTTGCTGACTCTGGAAATAAGAAACGGTGTAATGCTACAGCTTTTACAAGTCGACTGACAATAGCCATGGTTCTAAATATCACCCGTCTACGATAGCTTAACACCACATTTGGCTAATGTGTGTTTGGATCTAAACAACTGAGATGTTGACAATAAAATACAGGAACAATCTATAAAATACAAACAAGGGAAGGGCGGCCCCCGTGGGCGCGTTTCCTTGTGTTACAGCTCTATGAGACAGTCTGTGCCGGAGTAATCTGGGAGATTAAGCTCATATTTTTTCTGAATGTCATAAGGCAGGAAGCGTCCGGCCAGGAAATGCTTCCCAGAGAAGTTTGTTGCGCACTTCTTTGGCGCAATGAGAGAGATGAGAACATCCGGGTTTATTCCGTCCTGACTGGGTTCTTCTACATCCCAACCTGTAAAGAGACGATGAAGATTGATTCCTTACAGCTTCAAACAGCGTGTGATCTTGGCACTTGGTGGACTCGCTCTGAGCCGACAGTAGCTGAAGATTTATTTTCCGTGTGTGAATCCACACTTTGGAAAGTTTTTTTTTACTGTGGGCTCTAATGTTCCAAGTGAGCTGCCTTGAGGTTCATTTATCTTGCGGTGTTTATTGGCCTCAAACATAATATATTTTATTTAAAACTTACCTGAGGGAACATCCACGCTGGCAATGGGAATCTTGATTTGCTTGAGTGTTGCCAGAATACCAGAATATGGCTCCTTGATGTTGGAACAGTCTTCCTCAAGACCCAGCATGGCATCAACCACGAGGTTGTACGCATCATTTATGAGCTGCACCTGAACAGAGTACATCTTTGTGTTTGTGACATAAAACGGATACTTTTCTGCTCAGGTCACCAGGTCCATTTGTCAGAGTGAACGTTTTTCTTTTTTATCCAGAACTTAAACAACCACCACCACCCCTCCAACCTCCAAAGGCTGAGTTTTCCGTTCGTCTGTAAGATGCATGTCCCTGCAGAATTAAGTAGGTTAACTATGTTTCTGAAATCTACGATGAGGAGGTTTGGACTCAGCCTTGTTCTGGTTCCATCTTTGGGTTAGAATTTGAGTGTAGCTTGGCTATCACCCACATTACCCTAGCGAGGCATAATCTTCCAACATATCCAGATGCTACCCAAGAGAGTTGTGAAAGTGGGTGTGGTGGGATCACGACCAAGTCCTAAAGCCTCACTGAGGGACTTCCTGTGGTCAGAGTAGACGATGGGCTCAAGAAAGTGTTTCTGGGACATGGGATACAGCTGGCCAGTGCAAACAGAATAGCAGTGCCATGGTTTCCCTCAAATTAAACGAGGTTTTCCAAATTTGCAGTGACTTATGAAGACTGCCTTGGTAATGGAGAGTAGCAAGGTCTTAATCTATAGGGTGGGTGGGTCCTAGAGTGGCAGTGGTTACCTCTGCAGAGATTAAACTTATGCATTTAGCTTCGGACTCTAGAGCATACCGCCGTCTCTGTCTCCGTATGATCCTGTTTTCATGTACCTCCATCTAAAGAGTCATAACACTTTTTTTCAGTAGATGCTAACTCGTTGGAGAGATGCAAGCCAAAAATACACGAAACCAGCTACAACTGAAAGCTATGTAAAACAACTCTGACATGTTTATAAGAATGTGAGATGAGATCATTAGCACTTGACTGGATGTCTCTGCAGTGGAGGCTTCAGCCAACAGATAATTGGCTCATTTTAACAAGAAAGATAGAGGGATGGGGAAACTGTCATTCTGGCCAAAGGCGACAAGAAAAATAAACTTTAAAGCTAACTAATTTACATGTTTTATTACTGACAGCTGTTACTAGGCAACCAGCAGAAATGTACAAAAAATGTAATGTCCCAGCACATAGAAAAGTCCAGCAAAACAAATCATTACAGAGATGGGATTTTCATCAGCAGATGGAACATAAGACTTATTATTATTATTATTATTATTATTATTATTATTATTATTATTATTATTATTATTATTATGGTTATTAATTTAAGTACTCCACTGCTGTATTGGGAGACAGAACCATGATTGTGCTGTCCATATCCATGTGAGGGAGGTATAACTGAATCATAAATGCAGACCCAATAAAACTTAACAGCCTATTTCAATGTTAGTCCCCTTGGTTAAAAAAAAAAAAAAAAAAACACCACTGACCTCTGTGGGCAGATAAGAGAGGAAAGGGATATCCATCTTCTCACACTGAACTGTGAAATCCTGGTGCAGACTGTGAGAGGAACGTTTCGGGTGATAGATGGTGGGCTCATAGTCCTGGATCAGATCAGACAGCACAGAAAATAGAATTAACACGGAAGAGAAGATGAAAAAGCCAAGACAGACAAAAGGTAACGGCAAGAGGTAAATATGATCCCGGAAGGTTTCAGTGTGAAAAGCTAGTTCAGAGGAGCATTTGACCTGCAGCTCCAAACTGGCCAAAAAAGCAGAAAAAAGGTTAAAATAACAACTGGTGACTGTGGATCAGACAAAGTGGTTTCCACAGTCTGCTTCCTGAATGAGTATTTCCTCTGTGCAGAAGTTTGGAAAAGTAGAAATCCAGACCCCTGCAGTCTGAGAGGTGTGTGAAGCTCAGCAGGAATCAGCTGTGATCCACCGACTTTACAGTCGAAGAAATAAATCTTACAACCCCCAGGCCCGGCTTCACCTCTTTCATTAAAACATTTTAGGGTGACTAGATCTACAATCCGAAGGGCCAGATTTAATACTTTAAAACCAAACAATTCAAAAAATGCGGATGAATGAAGAAAATGTTACAGAATTACAGTTTTGAAATGTGATGAAAACATCTCAAAGGGGTTTTTCTTTTGTTGAAAAATACATAACAGAGTGGGCTGTGGTTTAGTCTGCAGTAAAACCCAGAGCTGATGAAGAGGATGTTACTTTATTCTGAGAGAGGAGCATTTAAAAGACTATTTTAAATGTATCTTTACTTAAAAGTTAATTTAATCACATATTTTTGTGTTTTCATTTATGCAATAAATTTAAATACATACTAACTCCTTTCTGTGTTTTACCTCTCTGACACACTGAGTCCTCATAATATGCAGACATCAGCTTCCCTGCATTAGCATGTTTTATTCTGTTCAGCTTGCTAGTAATTTTAATACTTTTTCTTTTTTCATCAGAATGTTTAAACAACACATTGTTTTATTTTCATCCTTCCCAAACACAAAAAGTTTGAAGAAATAACAAATGCTCAGGACTCTGGAAGGTTAAAAGGGGTTTTCAGCATAACAACAACCACGATGACCTACAGGGTAGCAGGGGCGGCGTTAGGCCCGGCTACTTGGGCTGAAGCCCCGGATGTTTCATGAAAAGCCGCGGATCTAAATCGCGGAAGTAACATGCAGTACTAAAGTCCAACAGAGAGGGAGCAGCTGGCAGTAGTTTGTATACAGCCTGCCTGAGCCTCCACCACTGAAGAAGAAGCCCTTCAGCAGCTGGCTTCTTTTGCAGTCTCTGCCTGAAACGCATGAGTGAAGATGGACATAAGGACGATTTTTAGACCAAAAGTACAACGACAGAACCCCAGCTTTGATGAGACTGGTGTTGACTCAGGTTTGTGAGTCTTATTAGAAAATATTTGTTGTGCTGCTGGTTTGCCTAAAGTTAGCTTACTATCAGGTAAAGTTGATGGAGAAAGAAAGGGAATATTTACTATCATCTCACACTAAACACTAACAGGAACAATACTCTGCCCTGAATATGCTTACTGTAATATGTAGCTTCAGATTAAAAATTATGTGGTACAAGACAAATATATATGATGTTGACTAGTGCGTGTCACGTGTGTGTGTGCGCGTGTGCGTGTGTGCGCGCACGCGTGAGTGTGTGTGTTAAGCCCCGGATCTTCTTCAGTCCTAAATCCGCCCCTGCAGGGTAATAAATGAAGTATCTTTTTTTCCACGAGCATTTTTCCAACTGAGGAACTAATCCCAAAAGTCTGTGTGTTTTTCTGTCTAAATCTGTTGGTCGGTCTCCTTGAGAGTCGCGTCCTTCTATGAAAACCCTGGTTAATTGCATAGATTTAGGAGTGGGGGGTTGTTACAGTTAAATCTCACATCTAACTAGGTTGTACTTCTTCTCACTGAGGAAACAGCGTTAACGTCAGGGTTAAGATTAGATCAGAAAGTTTTCTGATGTTCTCTGTTTTTAAACACAGGCAAGAAAAATGAAAAAAAAAAAAGAGGAGGTCAGTGTTGCACTGCTGGATATTTAAATCTTTCTCCAGGGAAAACAAGCCTGTACTTGTTCTTTGGTGTCCAGTCTCTGTTATTTATGTTGTAAAAATCTGATATAATGCAGATGATGTATGTACCAGGGTTTTATTTGAAGTATAATGTGACTGACTTCATACGGTTTCCATGCAGAGCACATTTATTGAGCCAAACATGACCTCATGTTCAATTATAACACAATTAATAGCATTAAAAACTAATAACTGTATCAAATATCCCTCAGCAGCAGCTTTGATGATTCTGTTGTCTGGAAAGCTGCGTTCTATTCGCTTTTGTCTCTGTGAGGAAATAAAAAATGCACATGGACATCTCTGAAGTGTTGGACTATTCACCCGCAGCTGATTGTTTATTTTAATGCCTGAATAAGGAAGGATAAAATTAGTTAATCATGTTCTAATAGTCTAAATCTGGCCAAGGCTCACTGTCTACAGCAGACTCAGCATGAAACCCCCTCTTCTAGATGGTCACTAAGAACATCTCTGGTTTTGTTCTTGGTCTGAAGACGACCGACTACAAAATGACCTCAGCCTCCTCAAATAAAAGTCTCTCTGACATGGTTTGAATCTGAAATATCAACACATTTATTTCCCATTTGTGATATTTCCCATGCAATGAAAATCATAGACAGGAGCAAGAGCAGCAAGACATCAAATAAAAGAGATGCTGAAACTGGCCCCAGTGTTTAGACAGGATGGATTTGTGCTCTTAAAACGAATCGTCTCAGCGTGTCACTCGGTACGCGGCCCAGGCAGCTGAAATCACGACATCGCACAGCAGGGTTGCAGCTCTGAGACTACTTTAATGAGAGCAACAATGGCACAATAGCATGACTGTCTGGGTGCTCTTGCAGAGAAAGTAATGGGATAACCCCTCCGAGTCATTTACAGGAGCACAAACGAAAAGCTGAAAAGCACTTAGAGCCTGTATCCCATTAGTCAGGATACCAGTTACAATTGGGTTTAAACGATGTTTATAAATGTCTGAATGACTCATTGAGAGCCAGGTCGTTATGGTAACTGTTTGTCAAGTTGACAGATTGGTGTGAATCACTTTGGCATTTGCACTTGACTTACAAAAATGCGCAGGTGTCGGGCACACACCAGGCCGATGGAGCCGTTCTGATCCGGGCCACAGATCACCAGCACCGTCGGCTGCTTCTTCGTTAGAGAGCTGAGTGGATACGCCTGGTGGAGAGATGAAAACAGGTAAGAGTTTAAAGACATCTGTCCCTCGGACAGGTCATCTGATTTGTAGATCCGCTTAGTCTCTAAATATCTCTAATGCTGTCAGAGGAGGTTAAACAACAGTTCAGTCTATTAAAACAACATCTAATATCATTAAAATAACCTGAGCATCAGTGGAAAAAATGCCAGTGTGCTGTTTACGGCATGCTGTTTATTTATACCACACTTTCCATCCGCATCCGAGCTGCTGGCGTCTGCCTTTAGTGGGCATCAACATTTCCCCGTAAATCAGGCTGAACCTTCTCACACAAGACAGGTATTCACCCACCGAGCTGTCTCCCAGGGTGACTAAACTTTGCTAAAAAGAAGTTGTGTGTAGGTGACTGCTCATGCTCGTGTGCACGGCTTCCTGAGGGTCTGCATCCGTTTCCCCAAACTTTTTATGCTATCGAGTTCCTCACATTGATGGTGAAAATGAGGCAACAGTACTCAGATGTTCCTGAAGTGTTTTACTGGATTGTTCAGTTACTTCTCTGCATAGGTCACCTCGTGATTACACGAACTAGAAAAAGAACCTGAAATTGGACGCCTTGTCTCATTAGAGGCCATCAGATGTGTGTCAGAACACAAGATCTATGACCAGTTAGCCCAGTTTAAGAGCAGAGTGTTGTCGACTCGGGTCATGAACGATCACATTTGATAATCAAATGGCACATTTAAAACGAGAACACATTTTATCAAAAGCAGGACAAAAACTAAAATGGTAATTTTTTCTGTGCAAAAAAAAATGAAGATAGGATTTCACAGTAAAACAAAGAGCAACACTGAAATGTCGTTGATGTTATAACAAAAAATGGACAACTTCTTCTAGATTTGTTTCCTTTTTTTTTGCTTTTAATCTGTTAACTGGCAGGTCAACGACTTGTTAAAGCACGTTAGTCTTTTTAGCTTATTTAATCATGCACTGTAAAGTTAAACATTGTTTGTATTATAATAAACTTAATATGATCATTTCATGTTAATATTCCCTTATAAACCTCACAGTACCAAATGTACAAATCAGGTGTGTGAGATAATAGTAACCCAGTTGAACCATTTAAGAAGAATGAAACCATTTGCTGATGATCCTGGATTCACAAATGATGAGCGTTGAAATGTATCCGCTGTGAGTAAAACTCACTTACAGCTCTCTTTTCACTACCAAAGAAAGATCATATGGATAAATAGGCCATTCACTACCTTAGATAATTGGATGGATACAGGCGCGCAGATAGGGTGGGGGACGGGGGGGATCTGCCCCCCCCCTCCCCCGATTCAGATCGACCCCGATCCGTCCCCCCCAACTAAGGCCAGAAAGAAAACAAAATCAGAGGTTAAGTGCTTGAAGCTCCTTTTTCCAATTACAGTGAATGCAGCATGACGTAAACAAACACCGACTCCAGAGGCGCCAAAGTGGTTGCTGCTAGGATGCAGGATGAAGCGAAAAAGGCAAGCAACGATTACTGCGTATTAAAAAAAGACCAACAGTGTAAGTAGGCGGGACCGATCTGTCTGTTTATGCATGTTGGTTATAATCGCCAAAGCCTCATTGCTGATTTTAACAAGTGTCATCTACAAATATGATCCCTCATGAAGTTACTACTTTACATCAGAAGATAGTGGAGATGTGGAACCTTCAGGCTGAGCAAAGATTGGGAGTTTTTAGAGTTTGAAAATCGCCTCCTGCCGAGAGGCTCGCAGTCGGGGAGAGGAGGAGATGCGCGCAGCATGAAGAGCGCAAATGTTGGATAAAACGTAGAATTGCCAGCAGGTCTGGTCTTTGTTGACTGATCACCTTGTCTGGTAATGACTGACTCTGATTATGAAGCAGAATATTGACTCTGATGAAGAAATTCACTCATCCAGCCTGGACGATTGACGCTGCTGCTGCATCAGACAGCTGGTGCTGCACGAGAGGTGTGTGGAGTTTACAAGCTCCAAACGTTGGGTTTGATGTTTGTTTAACCTTCTCTGGGACGTGATGGATGTAGAAACGATGGTAAAACACTGCAAATGTGACAGACGTAGCGACAATGTAAAAAAAAGCCGTAAATAGGTGCAGATGCTGATGCGTTATATTTGGAAGTCAAGTGTGCCACATAATCATAAAAAAGTAAAATATAAATTTTTAAGAGATTTATATATTTATATATAAATTAAAACTTTCCAAATATAATGAAAATTGTGTAAATAACGTCAAAATACGAAGGAACATCTCTTGGTCAGCCTGAAAAGTTTGGGAACTACTGCTCTAAGTGATAAGTGAATATTGTTTCTTATTATATTTTATGTGCAGTTTTTTAGGGCTTTTATGTGTTCTGTAAAGATCGGTATGCTGAAAATCATTTCATGTTTTGCATAAAGCATGAGGTTTTGGTTAGTAATTGATTAGAAGAATAACAAATGACTGATTTAAATAGTGGGGCGCCTCTGTCAGTGCACCCCAGGGCAGCTGTGGCTACATCGTAGCTCATCACCATCAGTGTGTGAATAAGTATGTGAATGGATGAATGATACACTGTAGTGTAAAGTGCTTTGGAGTCCTTAGTCTGAGAGGCGCTATACAAGTGCAGATCATTAATCATTCATAGTGTTGATCTGGCAGAGCTTTGTTGCCAGCGTTCCACTGCATAATGGCTTCAAACACGTATATAAAAGTTTTAGTTTTTACGTAAACCGCTGGATGAAATTACACAAACTGACTGAGCTCTAGTTAAGGCGCCTGCAGTAGTTTGTATGTGTGTGTGTGTGTGTGTCTGTGTGTGTGTGTGTGTGTGTGTGTGTGTGTGTGTGTGTGTGTGTGTGTGTGTGTGTGTGTGTGCGTGCGTGTGTGTGTGTGTGTGTGTGTGTGTGTGTGTGTGTGTGTGTGTGTGTGTGTGCGTGTGTTTGGGGGAGGGTACATTGGAACTTTGTCCCCCCCAGTTTGAAAATCCTATCTGCACCCCTGGATGGATAACAGGACTCAGAGCGCATTGGCAGGAGAAATAAATCTGGGTAAGAAGGAATGCAGCTATCTCCATTGTAACAGCTCAGCTGAGAAATCATCACACACCTCAGTCAGATGGAACAGGGGTGTTAATGGCCAATGTGGGCCACGAGGCTGATGGTAATATTAAGAAAGAGAGGGGGGATGTGTTGATTCAGAGGGACTAGACTAAGATTAGTAGACAATAAAGCATGGCAGCATTTCTCCATTCTGGGAGGTGATGTAGAGGAATGTGATTAAGGCGTGTGTCAGCCAGATGAAGGATGAGGTAAGAAGACAGCTTTAATGAAACTTAAGGGAGAAGTTGACTTTGGAAAGAGAAGATCCAATTACATATTTTTATAGATAGTTCTTTAATATGACAAATAGGCCTTTGTGTGGGATGTGAGCTCTCTGAGTGTCTTATTTTAGATGCATTGAGATTTAATCTCTAACTGAATTAAACATCTTGATTGTGGTGCCTCGAGCGTTTTGAAAAATGCTCCTTTTTGCAGTTAAACCAAATACATCTGATTAACCCACTGCTTACAACTTGCTCTGGGCCAGCTGTCAGAAAGACGAGTTTAACAGCGGCCATGTAAACAGCAATGATGAAGCAAAAGCAGGTTCACAAACACAGCAGCTTTGTTTCAGACAGTACATACAACGCTTCAGGTAAATTTCCCGAAACACATTCTGCTTTTTATTTATTTATTATTTTGCACAAAAGTTATGATAGAGTGAACATTCAGGAAATATTGTTTTTTCCTAGACAGCAACAGACAAAGAGACCTGAAAATCTCAGTGGCCACCCTGGGACCGCGGTTCAAATCCTGTGTCGGTACAGGATCTGCTCGGGTGCAAGATCGGCTCGGGGTCCGTCGACTGCCGATGACGTCTAAGTAGTTGATTGGCTGAACATGAACCTTACGGAATTACGTAATCACGTTACGTTGTTATCACGTTACGTTGGTCCAGGCAAATCTTTCTGTTGGAAAGATGGACAACTTTTACAAAGAAATCCATCATTACCTCTTTGAAAATACACTTTTAGCATAGAGCTGCATGTATTTTAGGGCTGAACGATTAACTGCATGTGCAATTAAATTGCGATGTGACAAAAGGAGATTTTCTAATCGCAAAGGCTGCAATTTGGCAGCGAGTGGTTAGCGCAATGCTAATATGCATGGAAAAACCCCATAGGAATGCTAATGCTAATATCACCGATTACATTATTACAAATTATAAATTAGAAACGTGCCAAATGATTACTTTTGGAGTCTAATAGAAAGTAAAACTACCATCAATCAAATAAGTACTTTAGTATTTTAGTAAAGCCAGAAAACTTTTAACTCCAGAGTTTTGGCTAGCAGCTATGAGCGTATCTGAACTACGCATGGACAAGACGTCAAAAACTAAACACAAAATACTTCAATAAACGGGACACACTTCTTTCCTGCAAATACAATTTCACAGGTGTTGCTAATACCTATGATCCTTCAAGGGATGTGCTCAAAGAGGAGTTCAACATTATGAATACAATATAGTGTTTTATTTTACAAATACCATTATAAACACAAACTTACGTCTTAAGAAACATTATTTTAATAACGAAACTGCTCAGTTCTTTCCAACAGTATAGATGTGTAATGTATTTTGTCCGAGTGGGATTGCCGTACTTTGACGTCATCGGCAGTCGAAGGACCCCGAGCCGGTCTTGCACCCGAGCAGATCTTGTACCGACACCGGTTATACCACAGACTTTAAAAATGGGACCCAATGCCTCCCTGCTTCACAACCCCCAAGATTGTATTAGTAAAAATTATGTTTCTAAAATCCCAATAACACACCCAATAGTATAATCAAAGCTCTGTAGAACAGTCATTTTCTGTATGGAGTTTTTAATGAATCACTTTTAATGTGTTTATGCAAGTAGTGTTATGGTTGGTGGTCCTGGCTTGTCTTGGACCCAAGCAAGGGGGGTCCTCTGGAGTAAAGGGTTGGAAACCAAAAAGTTTCACTTGTTTTGATTTAAAAAATTCTAACATTTCTAACAACCTATGTTCTGTGTAAAACAAAATCACTTGCCTGGTTTAAATACGTGTACTTTCTGCACACACACTTGTCATATTTCAGAGTAAAAAGAAGGGATTAACGGTGTTTCTGTGAATGCTGAGGATCACCGCTGGAGCCATTTTTACTGCTGCAAGAACCATCAGAGCCACACTCTGCTGAAATTACAGATCACTTTAGGCAAAACGGTAACACAACATTTGTGTGATTGTATCTAACAAAGAAAACCCAATATCCCTAACAGATCTATTGAAACTATTCATGTATTCTGATTTAGGGCTTTCAAATCACCAAATAAATGAGTGCAATTAGCAAAAGATGAGATAAACAGCCTTTCGAACAGTCATCAGCTGTGTTGATGTCCTGTTTTTGTTGCTTTCTAATCAAAAATGGAGACTGTCAGTGTCATCTTCAAATGAATATAGCCAGTTTAATCAGTTTTAACCCTAGATTCAAACACAACTTGCAAGTATGACCCAGTTTCTCTGTCTTCTTATTCTTAATGTATTCTGCATAGATGTATGTCAAGCAGTGATACATCCGTTACTTCCTGTATAAAGTTAAATAGCCTTCCTTTATACATTTTATTCCAAAACTTTATTATTTTATCCTTTTTGTGGATATATTTATGGTCGTTTTGGTTTGTTTGAAGTTTTTATTAGTGAAGACAACCAGTTTCTTTTTCTTTTCAGCAGGTTTCCCATCCAGTTACTCTTCATTTTTACTGCTTGAGGGCTTTTTTCACATGACAGCTGGCAAAGTAATACAATTTATGTCACAGATTCCTTATAGATTTCGTAAATGATTGAGAATTTAGAGTACAAAGAGTTTTCAAAAGTAAACATAAGACCAAACTTCAGAAAATGTCCTTGCTCTGAGGAAAGTTCATGAGTGCAGAACACCACCAAGACCCCCTTACTCACTCACTGCTGGATTAAAATATCTGCCTGGATTGTAATGATATCCCTGAAGAAACTCTTATTTGAAATAAATATTAAAGAATGTGAGATTTTCTCCCAGATCAACGTTAAACATACACTGAGTCTGAGAAAACACCACCAGTGACCTAAAAACACAAATATACAGTCAGAAGATAGAAACTGTACGATTTGCCGGGGGCCTGCAGTAAAATGCAGACTAATTTATCGCCGTGGAGTCATTTGAACGTCTCTTGTCTCCATTCAGGTGTTGAAAAGCCTCAGACTGATACAGAAACACAGTCTGGAGCTTGTGGTTGTGGCTGCTGCTGCTAGAACACTAAAGGGATTACTTCCAGAAAACCTATAATGTCTGGCAACCAGAGGTGTGTGTGTGTGTGGGGGGGGGGGGGGGGGTAAGACTGTGCTTGTTCTTGTGGTAGCCGAAAAGCAACAGACCAGCTTTGAAATCGGTGAAATCAGACTGTCTGCATATCCTTCTACTGTAATTTTCCTGAAATAGCAATGATGTCATGCAGCGCGGTAGCGTTCTGCCGCCGGCTGCGGGCAGCTGAGATCTGCAGCATCCAGGCCGTGTTTGTACAGTAATATATGCTGTTGGGTCTGCTGGTGGAGGGCCAGGCATGAGGCCAGCGCCGGCTGATGATAATAAAGGGGAAGTGGATGTGGCGGGTTAAATTACACACTCTGAGGGAAGAACATTAAGTCTCAGCTTCTGACTGATGCTGCCATACGGCCTGTTTAAGTTCCCGTCTCTCTTTAGGGCTTTTTTGGTTGCATGTCTCAGTTGTTACCAGCTCTGTTTAGTTGTGCTGCCTTTGAACTTGAACTCTCTTTGGTTTCTGTTTTTGTCTGGTTCCTCTTCATCGTGTGTCTCAGACTCGTATTCATCACCGCCTGTTGAAAAAGCCATGGTGAAAACCAGCATGGCATGTAACCAAACTGACGTTCTGGTTGAAGATATGACCACATGTGTCCCTGACAGTTCTTGCCCAACACACACACACTTCATTTTGACACGATCCAGATCCCCAGCTCAATGTAATGGCTGTCACATCACAGAGGAAGAGATGTGTTTCAGGGTGCGGTGTACTTTAGAGAAAAACTGATGCCAAGCAGTTAGCTCAGGTGTTCCTGAGGGTGAACCACGCAAATGCATGGAAGTAAATGACCAGTGGCTCTCCGTAATAATCAGGCATTTGTGTGGAAGTTAATGCAAATTAGGCACGTCTAAGCCGGGCGTACACTGTGCGACTTTTTCCACCTGTAGCACTCAGCTTCAGCTCAAACTGTACGACTTCCTCTATGTACGTCCTAATGAATGCTGGGTTTTTGCTCACTCGCTACCATAAAAATAGACCTATTTAAAACAGAGCTACACACCCCGGCTGAAGATGAGCCTGTACAAACCTTAGTGATGGCGAGGGCACATGCTTGTCCCCAGATTTCTACCAGCTGCTGTTGTCCAAACTTATAGTCCCTCACCAGCTCTGTCTCAATGGCTGCCATGTCCCCTTTGCTGAGAGACAGAATGAGAAGCACGGTTAGTAATCATCTGGAGCACAAACACATAGAGACAAACTGTAGAACAAAGTTCGTCCTGAGGGAGAAAAAGATTTTTCTGAGCAGAATTTAAACATTTTTCTATGCCTGAAATGCATCTGGTCTAATGTTTAGTTTATTTCGTCTGACTTCCACCTGAAGAGCAACAGTCTGCTGCTGCTTTTAGACTGAAAGTGTTTGTGGACTTTCCTGTGTGACAAATGCAGGTGAGAGCACCACCGAGCTGTCTCCTGAAAAAGGTATGCATCAAGGGCAAAAGGAGAAAAGTGTCTACCCTCTAAGTTTGATGTCCCATCAACTTTGTTGATCCCTGTTACTCTACAGACACCTGGTGGTCCTCCCCAGGACTGCATGTCAAAAACAACCTAAATAAACTGTTGGTTCTTGACCATGGATGTAACCGAAATCAGAATACTCAGTGGAATCAGATCAACAAGCACATTTTCTTATAGCATGCTGTGGTATGTTTGCTAAAACCCAACAAAAATAGCAGGTGAGAGGAGAATTAATGCAAAAAAAACCTCCATATTGTACATTTAATCAGCAGTTAGTCAACAAAGCCGCCCGCCCCCGTTCTGCTTCTGCGGATCTTTAGCTCTGAGTAGTAAATGAAAGATCAAGAGCTTTGTTTTTGAGAGCCAGTGGTTGTGCTGTCTCAGTGTGTGTATTTCTATGAGTTACATCACATTTCATCAAAGAGAGAACACACAAGGAGCCTACAAATGCTATTTATGGCACATCAGACACCCACTGAACGCTCAGTCACCACATAGATCCATATTAAAAACACATTTAAACATGAAGGCTGAGGGAAGCCGAATCCCAACAGAAATGTGCATCTTTTATTTGAAATGGGAGAGAATTCATTTTGCATTCTCTAAAATATCCTGTCGTAATGGTTGCTTTACGAGAACAAACAAAAGCAATAATGTTTCGTTATCAAGCTCCATCCTGATTGTTATTCAGCTCCTTCTACCTTCCAGGAGGAAAATCCAGGACAACCATATGAAGAAGCAGGTCCTTGTTGTGTTCGCTGAACATTTACAGCGGAGAGCTGAATCTGCATTCGTGGTTTATTCTTGGCCCTTTGGGCAAGGAGTGTTTTTATGTGCTCGTGTTTTTCAATTTGACACAGTAGCGTGTGTGTGTGTGTGTGTGTGTGTGTGTGTGTGTGTGTGTGTGTGTGTGTGTGTGTGTGTGTGTGTGTGTGTGTGTGTGTGTGTGTGTGTGTGTGTGTGTGTGTGTGTGTGTGTGTGTGTGTGTGTGTGTCAGCACACAAGTGTATCCAAGTGTGGCTCCTGGCATTTACCTGTGCCAGTGGAGCGGCAGCAGCTGGCACCCACGGTTCACCTCGGGGATGTTTCCTGAGTCACTGTGACAAGCTGATCTTTGGAAAGTTCACCTCGGTCCACAGGGTTTGCTCTGTTGTTCTGTCCTCCTCCTCATCATCATCTTCATCATTATGTCTTGCAGTATTTATTAAGCCCACACTGATAGTAGAAGATTTAGCTTCTAATGAGTTGGGGAAATCTCAGCTCAGGACTGATGCATCACAGTACAAATGCCGCCGCCGCCAGCGCTTCTGCTGCACAAGCAAACAGTATTGATCTTATACATTATTGACCGAACAAAGTGTTGTGGGTGTGCAGCGACCTGTTTTAGCGAGATCTACCATGGCGGAGCAGCACACATTTTTCAGGACAAAGTGAAGTCAGGTGGCTGCTTTCTGAAATAAACTCTTCAATTACGAACTCAGATGTTGCTCATTGTAACAAACTGTTTTTTATTTATTCGCTTGTTGTTGATATTTTTAGATTTCATACCAAAAGCAGCATCAGCATACTTCTAAATCAAAGCAGCTGCAGTGGTGAGAAAAATTATTTTGCCCTCTTACAGATTGCCTTTGATTTGGCTTGTCATGCTGTTATGTTTCAGATCAGAAAACACATTTCAACATCAAATCAAGATTCAGTATTAAATGCGGTTTTAAGTGATGAATTTACTGATCAAGGGAAAAAGCAAGTAACGTTTAAACTTAATCACTGGCTCCTGCACGACAACAACTACAATGGAGAGTTTTTGAGTCTTTGCAGAATAGTTGAAGTTCAGCCACACTTTAATTTAATTTTGTGTCAAAGAGCAGAATTCATGGATTCATCAATTACAGCAAGTGGTCCAGATCCTGAAGCAGCAAAGCAGGCCCATACCATCACACTACCACCACCATGTTTGACTGTAGAGAAATTTGGCCTTGGAGCTCTACCATGCATGTCATTTTTTTTTTACCTTTTCCTTATTGTTGAAACTGCATTCTGTATATTATTATGTGTATTTGCAATATTTTTTTATGCAGCAACTGCATGTAAACACGAGCCCTTCCTTGATTATTTCAGCGTTACACAAACCTGACCCTTGTGAGCCTTAGCTGGTTTTGCAGCTGATGCCACATTCATGCCTCAGCCAGCACCCTCTCCCTGGAGGGGCGGTTCATTTCCCCATGCTGTGTGTGATGTGCTGCTGCCATGCGTCCCCTCCACCAGTACCACTCCACTGTGATCACAACCTGCGTAATGAGTCTGTTTACATTACACTTGAGATCAGATAAAGTGAAACTTTAATGACTCCATTGGGGGATTTTGGACAATGTTACAGCAAACGGCTGCAGCGTATTCAACAATGATAAATGGCACGTTCAATTTGTTAAAAAAAATAATAAGAAGAAGAAAACAACAAACAACAAAGATGAGGTGATATAAAGACAACTATGCAAAATGCTGATTCATACAGGAGAACATGATGCAAATAACCAAATCCAGCCATCAGGCATCAAATGTTAAAGTTATCCTGCAGCAGCAGGTAAGTGTGCAAAAACAATACAGTATATATTTAGAGTCTCCACCTGTGAAGCGCCCTCGTCTGATGAGATGAATTCATTCCTGAATGTACGAGGGGTTCTGTTTTTCTGAGCTCTATTATTGGAAGACTGAAATAACCTCATTTCACCACCTCCACTCTCCAGCTGAATGGTTTCCATTTTCC